TTTCAAAGGGAAACAAAGACTATCAGGGCTGTTTGTGTGCTATTTTGTATTAAGAATCTGTGGTTTCTCATCAGCTGGACCTGAAGAATAAGATGTGAGTAACAAAAGACCAACACCATTCACATAAACTGAAGCCTTTGCTTTGCTGGAGCAGTCAATGCTGCTTAGCCAAAGCTGAAAAATTAGTGGTGATTTTACTACCAGCATCACTGAGGTGGGTAACAGCTGAGGCTTTGGCCCTGTATGGCAAGGGTGGAGTCCTGCACGATGGTAAAAGTGCAGCCTCAGTTGCAGTGGAGGGCCCTAGCATACTGGAGACTAATATCACAGGACAACTGCCAAGGACTAAACAGCTGTGAGGTGGGGCTGACCTACGCCTATAAGCTTTGTATGCAGGAGAGAAAGAGTTGGAGCTGCCTAGCCCTTTGGAGACCAGAAGATCGTGAGTCTCAGACATAACAGCTATTTATACTTCTGAGAAGAATTGGGTTTTGCTTTGATTTCATCATAACCATGCCCTGGTTCTTCCCTCTTAGAATAGAAAGCATGTAACTTACTTTGGTTTTAACAGAAACCCACAGTTGGATATTTTAAAGAGGCTGAATTTAAAGCATTTGAAAAAAATTTTTAAGACTATGCAACTTTTAAAGTATATTATGTTTTAGGCCAGGAGTGGTGACATACACCTTTAATTCCAACACTCAGAAAGCAGAGACAGGTGGATCTCTGAGTTGGAAGCCAGCTTGTCTACACAATGAGAACAAGAATAGCTAGGGCTGACCGTGTCTCAAAAAAGATTATGTTTTATTTTGTGATACTAATATTAACATGACATCTTGGGGACAAGATTGAAAGGTAAGGGTATATGTGAACAGTGATGTGTGTCTGTGTCAAGGTGACAAGGGGTTAATCATGCTATCTAGTTTTTTATCAACATGATACAATTTAGAGTTAAAGAGGGACTCTTGGCTGAGGAAATTCCCCATTAGATTATCCTGTAAGCAAACCTGGGGGGTGGGGTGCAGTTTCTTGATTGATGATTGACATGGAAGGGCCAGCCCATTGTGGTGTTACCCCAGGCAGATAGTCCTGGGGCATATAAGAAAGCAAACTGAGCAAGCCAGGAAAAGCAAGCCAGTAGGCATCATTACTCTGAGGCTTATACTTAGTTCCTGCTTCAACTCTCTACCTTGGCTTCCTTCAATAGACCATATTCTACCGAGCAAAAGAAACCCAAGACAATGGTTCTTAAGGCCTCACAGGTTTCCAGCTTTTGGCAACATCTAAACTGTTTCTTAAAGCCTTCCATGTAGTCAAAGGGCTTTTTCTTCTTTATAAGAATTTAGGGTCATTTGTGGTAATACACAACTTTAATCTCAGCACTCAGGAGGCAGATACAAGTGTGAGTTAGAGGTCAGCCTGGTCTACACATCAAGCTCCAGGATAGCCAGGGCAACATAGAGATGCCTTGTCTCTAAAATAAATTTAAAAAAAAAAAATCAAACTTATCTACCATTTTTAAACCTAATTCCTAACTTCCATATCCAGACTTCCCTCTGCTACTGGCTATATCCCCCTCCAAAATCCTACTGATTATTTCCACCTGCTCTGAAGACATTTAAACAAAACATCTAATTCCACTTATAGCCACCTGTGCTAGATATAGATAGACTTATGACAGCTAGACACAAGCTAGAGTCATCTTTGAGAAGGGAACTCAACTGAGAAAATGCCTCGATTGGGTGGGCTGCACACAAACACGTAGGGCATTTTCTCAGTGACTGGCCTGGATGTGCCACCCTGGACTGGAGGTCTTGGGTGCTACACGAAATCAGGCTAAGCAAAGCAGTAAGCAGCACCTCTCTATGGACTCTGATCAGCTCCTGTCTCCAGGTTTCTGTCCATTTTGAGATCCTGCCTTGGCTTCCCTCTGTATAAAAACACCAAACAAACCCTTCCCATCCCAAGTTGCTTTTGGTCATAATGTTTTAACACAACAAAAGAAACCCTAACTACAACAGCACTTATTTTCCAGAATGAATAGTAAGCTGAGCCAGAGAAAACCAGTAAGTAATTCTCACCATTTAACTTCATACTTAACTTATTCTTTTGCTGGTAGCAGTAGAGGACTTCTTTAAGTCTGTTATGCTGTGGTACTTTTAACACTGTTCCCTTTGCTTCTAGGAAGAGTTAGGTACAGGCCTAACTCTATTTCCTCCTCATTTCAAGCAAGAACTGAATACTTGATTAGCTATCACCATGCAGTTACAGGGATGAGGGCTGTGTAGACCACATCAGGTAGATGGAAACAAAAGGAGGGAACTCAAGATTACAAAGATGAGAAATGCAACACTTTGAGTGTGACATTCAATTTTTTGGAGACCCAGATGATTGACAGGTAAATTAACCTATATAAAACCCCAAGGTCTGAGTGTTCTGCTCATCACTCTACTAGCTAGCCATTGCCACATCCATATTCTGATCATACTTACTTATTCTGAGCAGCATAGATACTGGCCAGCTTCAGAGAGATCTCGATTATTGCATTGTCCTCCTGTTGGAACCAAAAAAGAAAAAGAAGAGAGAGAGAAATAAAAATTTCTTATGGAGTATTTCCAACTTTTCTACTAAATTTGGCCTCAAAGCCAGTCTTTCTTCCTTGAAAAGAATTAACCAACTATGAATTCTTTGGCAATTGTTACTTGGAATCAGTAAAATACTGGCTATTTTTTTTAACAGGTCTAGGGGTAAAATAACCATCTTTTTTTTGTCAAAGTACCTATGTTCTAGGCCTGAGGCTACAGGGCATATCCTGGTTGGTTTTTCGGTCAAGTAAACACAAGCTACAGTTATCTGGAAAGAGGAACTCAATTGAGAAAAATGCCTCCATCAGACTCTAGGCGTGTCTGTGGGGGCATTTTCTTGACTCATGATTGATGTGGGAGGGTCCAGCCCACTGTGGTGGTATCACCCCTAAGCAGGTGGGTTTGGGTGACTGAGAAAGCAAGCTGGGTGAGCCACATGAAGCAAGCCAGTAAGAAGCAGTTCTCTATGTCCTCTGCTTCAGTTCCTGTGTCTAGGTATCTGCCTAGAGTTCCTGCCCTGACATCCCTTAGTGATGGACAGTTACCAGAAAGTTTAAGATAAAATAAAGCCTTTCTTCCCCAAGTTACTTTTGGTCATAGTGTTTTATCACAGCAACAGAAATCCTAACTAAATCAGGGAGTTTTCATTTTGTTAATTGCTTCGATAAGGAGACAATATTAGACAGTGTCCTTACCTGCTTCATGCCTCCTCCAAGCAGGTAACTCATTGTTGCTTTAAAAAGTTGTTCTGCCTAAAAGCATAAAAATTCTTAACAAACCATCTATATATGACCCTTGATTCTAAATACCAAGCTAATTCTCAGAATGCATTGAGACTCTTATAAAGGGACCAAAAGATCAGGATCTCACATCTCCTTAGTACCTTACAAGTAACCTGTGATGAGTGGAAACTAAGTTCAAGAGATTAATCACCTGAACCAATGTCCCCTAATAGTCACCCTATCAATTAAGTTTTTAAAATATCCTCAGTTTTTTTGAATCAGCCTTCCTTACAGTTAGGTGTAATCATACCACGAAGTTAAGTTCTGGCTAACAGTAACAGACAGAGAGAATGCCAACACCCTTAAGACATTTCATAAGGATGTTGCTTGCACAGAATTCTCCCCTTTTGCCTTCCCATAGGCTGGAGGTGAGTCAGCTTACTCAAGCAGATGAAGACATACATACCTTAAGATGAATCTGAGATTTTTGAACCACATAACAGAGATGCCTAATCTGCTTTTAGTCTTTGGCCTACTTGTGGGCTAATTGATTAAAAAGAAACACACCTATATCTTGAGTCACCGTATTCTGGGGACTTTTTTGAGGAATAACATATACCCCTTACAGTTACAGTTCCCTTAAGGAGTTACCAATTCAAGATATTACAAAGTGACTGACTTACATTTTCAAGCTGCCCTCGTATAAATGCTAAGTTGGCCATCTGAAAGCAAATTATAAATAGTTGTTCAGTTCAGAGTACTCCACTTTACACAGATTTAAAAACCTTTAAGAGAAAGATTCTTTTGTTTCCACAATCTTAAAGAATAGTTCAAAACAGAGAAAACATCATTAATGTTAGAAGCACAGTACAGCAATGATGAGAGACACACAGAATTTATTCTACATATTCTCCTAAAGCAAACTAAACCTAGATCTACTTATCACTGAAGAGAAAAATACTAAGACATTTGCTTCTTTCTAGTCCAAAATCGTAAGTGAACCCATAGAGGATACAAAAAATTAAAACCAAAAGAAAACATAGGAAAAAAAAAAAAACCTTCAGGACATCTTGAGAGTCCAGAAGATAAACTAGGAGGAGCACTTTCTCAGCATCCACCCCTCCTCATCAATAGCTCAAACTGGTCAGAGGAGTTACCAAGTCGTAAGTGTAAGAGATGGCTTTCTTGTTATCACTCTGATATGCAAGGCGAAGAGCATCATGCAAAATTAGCTCCGCCTCTTCTGGGTCATCTTTCATGATGCTCAACTAAAAAGAGAAGACAGAGAAAGCATTATATGAAATGTAAGGAAAGCAGATGTGCACATTGCTACAGAGTAGATACATCACAATACGTACAAGGAAGTTATTCATTCATAATGTATTTATTGAATCTCCAAGATATCTGCCCAGGTACCAAGCTGACTGAGATGACAGGGAGACCAGCCTCCTTGCACCTTGGTGTGCTCATACAACAAAGTTTTGACTAACAGACCTGACAGAAGGAATTCGAGCAATCTTTACTTTTTTTTTCCCTCCTGAGACAGAGATCAGGCTGGCTTTAAGCCCCCTGGGTGCCGAGGTTAAAGGTATGTGCCACCTCACCTGACACTGAATGTACTTTATAAGGAAGCTGCTTGCGTTTCACCTTCTTTTCCTCTTCCCGTAGATTATGAGGGAGCACGTAGGACAAGTAGGTGTAATTAAAACTTGTGAGAAGAGCAATGAAGAAAAACAATTCAAAGGAATCTCATCTAATGGGAATCAGGAAAGTGCTCAAGAAAATGAGAGTAAAAAAAAAGTAGGTAAGGAGGTTAAGGAGTCAACCAAATATCAAAATGGAGACAATGAGCAAAACTCTAATAGGCTGAAGAGAATGGTTCCTCAGAAGAAATTCAAGGAAGGGCAGGTGGAGAGGACAGTGAGTCACAAAATTAGTGCCACAGGAGGATGAGACAGCTGGCTTAGGTCACTTTCAGTCCTGCAGCCCATGACAGGTTTGTGCTTTCTCACAGATAGAGTGAGAAGTCACTCAGTTATCAGGCAAGAAGGCACTACGTTCTGGTTTACACTCTCAAAACATCACTCGGGTTGGGCTACTGCACGGAGAAAGAACTACAGTGGGGTAAGAGGACCACAGGATCACTGTAAGAAAAACTGGGGAAATAGGGCAGGGTCGGGAAGACTTATGTCGATTCTGATGGCACTGTGATTATAGCTGTGTAAGTGGGAATTACCAACAACGCACTTTCAGAATCACTTACTTTTCGGGTTGTAAAGAAGACTGTTTAAGAACATATTTGGGGGGAGGCATTTAAGAGTAAGTGCTTAGTTCTGAGCATGCTAAGTCTGGGGTAGCTGGGACATCACAAGAGAGACAGCATGTGAATGGCACACTGCGGTCTGAACACAAATTTGGACAAATTAAGCCGATATTGAACCCATTGGAAGAAGTAAACCTGAGAGAAAATATAAAAGAATTTGAACCAAGAGACATAATCAACACTAAATTGCATTTTCGGGGAGTCATACATATACTATGTACAAAATGTCATTTCAGCTTGGCTGGTTAGCTGATTAAAACCACCCCCGCAAAACATCCTCAATCAGTATGTTTGGACAAAAGAGAAATGTGAGGGTGTCATCTCCACCTGCACTCACGACTGCAGCGGTTTTGCGGCAGGATTCACCAGGGACCAGTCTGGCCCCACCCCAACCTTCCACCTGGGGCCAATCCATCCAGGCCTCAGGAAAGC